AAAAAAAAAAAAAAAAAAAAATAATGTCCATGCTAGCTTTGCTCAGGCTCTCATAACTTAGGTTAACACTACTCATGTATAGAAAGTAAAAGTATTACAGAAAATAGATAAAGGATTGCCACTTACTCTCTGTTGTGAATTCCACCGCAAACCAGGCCATGCAACAGAACAAATTCCATGTTAGTCCACAGTGAATTAATACCATTTTCATGCAGTTTCTTTAAAAAAGAAAACTGAAAGGGCTAGAAACTGATAAAAATATTCTCTACTCCCCCTCAACATAAGCCTTTAAAAGTCAGTACAGAGTGAAATTAACTTTTCTGAGTTTACTCCTGAAGGTTTCTCTTTCTTTAAAAAAAAGAAAAAAAATCCAACCTCTTAATTGTTCTAATTTTATAGTCCTCTTATTCTTTATCTAACCTTTAAAAATTATTATAGGATGAGGGAAAAATCCTACTCACTATTGTGTAGCTGTAACTTTTTATGTCGGTTATTTTGATATAAAGTAATAAAAGATTATGACTTAGCATAAAAAATACTGATGTAAGGATTACTCTGTTGTGTACTCAATCCTGCTACCTAATGTGAAACAGAGTCCACAATGGAATAGCTCTAAATCAATTACAGAAAGATAAATAACACTGTATGTCCTCTGCCTTGTTAATGAGACTTCTACTGGGGCAACCCAGCAACTATACACCACTAGAGGTCTCCTCCGAGATAGCTCAGGAAAAGCACCCCTGGCTGTGGGATTCCTAGCCTAGATTACAGGTAGCTAACAAACATTGACTATACTGAGACCTCCAAACTCACTGTACAAGAGCCTTCTGATGGAAACATATTTCCTTCTTTATCCTCACATTCTGCTTCTGAATCAGCAATCTAGAGGTGACAGGTAACAGAAATTCCATCAATGTTCTAAACCATCTAATATCTCTTATGTTAAATTTTACGAATCTTATGCTTTATGTTCTAAATCTAACACTATCTGAAGGAAAAATCTTGGTAATTACATCTTTGTATTTCTACGTGAAATTCATTCTTGGATTTTTATTACTTTTTTTTTTTTTGAGACAGCATCTCACTTTGTCACCCCAGTAGAGTGCTGTGCTGTCATAGCTCACAGCAACCTCAACTCTTGGGCTTAAGTGATTCTCTTGCCTCAGCCTCCCAAGTAGCTGGAACTACAGGCGCCCACCACAATGCCCAGCTATTTTTTGTTGCAGTTGTCATTGTTTAGCTGGCCTGGGCCAGGTTTGAACCCGCCAGCCTCGGTGTACGTGGCTGGCGCCGTAACCACTGTGCTACAGGCACCATGCCTTTTATTACTACTGTTAATGTTAACCTTGTGAGGCTGACAGCCATAACAGGAATTTCTTTTTCTTCTTTCTAGACATGCCTTCTTTCTTCACCTAGGCTGAAGTGTGATGGCCCAATCATAGCTCACTGCAGCCTCCAACTCTGGGACTCAAGTAATTCTCTTATAGGTGTGAGCCACCATGCCCCGCCCATAACAGGAATGTTAAGACAGTTTTGGCCAGGTGCAGTGGCTCATGTCTATAATCCTAGCACTCTGGGAGGCCAAGACCAGCCTGAGCAAGAGCCAAGACTGATCTCTACTAAAAATAGAAAAATTAGCCAGGCATTATGGTGGGTGCCTATTGTCCCAGCTATTTGGTACTCTAGCCTGGGCAACAGAGTAAGACCATCTCAAGAAAAGAAAAGAAAAAAGGGAAGGGGAGGGGAGAGAAGGGAAATAAAAGACATGCTTTAAGACTCACACTGAGGGCTTGGCGCTGTGGCTCAAGTGGCTAAGGCACTAGCCACATACACCTAAGGTGGTAGGTTTGAATCCAGCCCGGGCCGCCAAACAACAATGATGGCTGCAACCAAAAAAAAAAAAAAAAAAAAGTAGCCGGGAGTTGTGGTGGGTGCCTGTAGTCCCAGCTACTTGGGAAGCTGAGGCAGGAGACTCGCTTGAGCCCAGCAGTTGGAGGTTGCTGTGAGCTGTGATGCCACAGCACTCTACCCAGGGGGACAGCTTGCGGCTCTGTCTCAAAAAAAAGACTCACACTGAGTAAGAAGTACAGTGAGGGGCATCTCAAAAGGCAAGGGACTTATCTTGGGTTCTATATACCTAGCTCAGATCTGGTGCTCAGTCAATGTTGAATGAGTGAGTGGGTGAAAGGATAGGCTGCTGTTTGACATTTCAAAGACAATTCCTGGTCGGGCCTCGTGGCTCACACCTGTAATCCTAGCACTCTGGGAGGCCAAGACAGGAGGATCAGACAGGAGGATCCCTTGAGCTCAGGAGTTCGAGACCAGCCTGAGCAAGAGCGAGTCCTAGTCTCCACTAAAAGTAGAAAATTTAGCTATGTGTTGTGGTGGGCACCTGTAGTCCCAGCTACTCAGGAGGTTGAAGCAGAAGGATTGCTTAAACCCAGGAATTTGAAGTTGCAGTGAGGTAGGCTGACACCATGGTGCTTTAGAGAGTGAGACTTTGTTTCAACAAAAACAATTCCTATGAGGAAGCAAAGACAGGAAAAGAAGGAAGAGGACAATAACTAGCTGGACTCCCTGAGCCTCACACGTTCACAGGTTTCTTTCTCCCAGCAAGACTTGAAAGAGACTGTCTTTATTTACTACGAAAACTGTAGTGTAATATAGTTAATTCTGCTAATCAGCATTTAAGATTTGCTTCTGCTGATTTAAAGTTCTATCAGTTTCCACATTCAGTCTCTGTCCTTTACATTTCAACTTTCTCTATTTCTTCATTCTCTCCCTTTCTTCCCTTAAAATTAATCTAACAGCTTTAAAGGCTTCCTCCCAATTTATTTATATAAAATCTAGACTCCAAATGCACTTTTGTAAACAGTCCTTCTGTCAGCACCACCCCTAAAGAAAGAGCCTTGTCCCCTACTCATGGGTACTTCCGTCTAAGCGAAGACTCTACTGTCAAAAAGGCAGTCCCCACGTCAGGGTTCCCTTTAAGTATGGGCACCAGCTATGTGATCACCATCCGGCAAGTTCTTGGGAACAACAAAATTCTATTTTGAGAAATAACTAAACCTAGTTTTTCAATAAGTCCATTAAATAAATACTTCTACTTTTCTATCTGGTTTAAGGACAATATATTCTACCAAAAAAAAAATTGTATATTTATATTCTTCACCACTGCAACTTAAAAAAAATGCACTATATTATATAATACAATCTTATATTCTAGCACCTAGCCCACCGTTTGGCTAACAGGAGGCACACAAACCTATTTGCTGAATGGAAGACTTTATCTGATTCTCTCCATGGTAACTCTTATGTGAAGCACAATTACTTAACTTCAAGTTTTGTACATTCTCAGAAACTTCAGTGGTTTCTAAGAACAACACTTTTAAAAGATATAACATACTACTGCTGATACTAGTGTTAAATCTGTAAGGTGCCAGCTGCATTACAAGAAATCCCTCAGTCTCGGGTAGTGGATTATGCGGCTCACACAGACATGCAGATGGAGGTAAGTGAGGCTTGACTCCCAGGCTCACCTTGCTGTGTGGGTCAGCAAACATCCGGGTGAAGATCTCACACAATCTTTTCAATTCTACTCGACTAGAGGAAATAAAATGTAAATCAATGAATTTAAAATTTAGTTAAGTCAGCACTGCAATTAGTTATGGCTTCACTCTGAAAAATCCTTTTGTTTCTATCAACTACTTTTATATAGTCTGTATCTATGTAACAAAGTTTCTTTATAAATGAATTCTTATTTAATTCATGATTAAACAGAAATATAAAACCATGTATTTGCCCTCAATTTAAGATGAAGAAATTGAGAAGAGTGATTCACCCAAGCTCACACAGCTGGAAGTGACCAAGCCATGAACCTAAACCCCTTCATTTTATCCCCAATGTTTTCCACCAACCGCAGAATAAACTAAAATAGCATGTCTCAGACAGACCTGGGTTTTAACCTCAATTCTCCTACAACAAAATACTCTCCTATCTTTAGGCCTCTATTTTCTTACTGGTAGAACAGGATAAGTGCAACGTCACATGGCTGCTGAGAGGATTAAAAAGATAATACTCCATGCCTACTACTGGACCTGGGACAAAACAAACGCTCATTTCAAATTGGTGCTCTTTGTCTTTCAAAAGAGACAGGGTCTTTTTGCTTTCGTGGAGGCTAGAATACAGTGGCATGATCATAGCTCACTGCAGTCTTGAACTCCCCGGCTCAAGTCATCCTCCCATCTTCACCCAAGTAGCTGGCTCGACACGCAGGCACAATATATGGCTGCTCTTTGCCTTTTCAGATCCTTGACTATCAAGTCCCATTTTTACTTCAAGGATTGAAAGAAAAGGCCTCTTTTTTCCAAATTACTCTGAGTAATCCCTTCGTATGCAGATGAAAAGTTGGCTCAATGATCCCTTGATAATGTTTACAACACAACCTAGATTACACCAATGCTGATCAACAGATTTCTAGAGATTATTAAATGGATACTTAGTGAACATGAAGAATCTAGAAAATGAGACCAGGATCAAATAGATTTTTGAAGAACAATCTCTAGAAGACATACTCTGTTTCTGATAGATCAGTGAAATATTGTAGGATGTCTTCCCTTCAGAGGTATGACAAAACCTCTCACATCATCTTCATGAGCAGATGGAATAATTATGAGGCAGGTGTGGACACAGGAGGTGGACTCAGACTGACCAGAGAGTGTACCTGGAGCCCAAGTGGTTCATCAGCCAGTGCTCGCTCAGCTTTACAGAACCCAGGGACTGCTATCTAAGGCCATACGCTTCTCCAGTGTCACAATGTAGCTTAAAAAAGTGATCCAAAAGATGGAACTATATTTACGTATTCTTAGTTACCCATTCCTCATTTCTCATTCACATTTCTTTTTTCATGTTTTAATATCTCCTTAATTGAGATTAATCTTATAATCAATAGCTTGTTAGTATTTCATGGTTTGATAAACAACATTTATTATTAGAGAGATACACATATAAAATAATGGTGGTCAATGAAAACTTAGATTTGATGAGATATGGTACAAACACATACTTTTTTTGGTATATGTAATAATACATGCTCATTTCAGAAAATTTATGAAACAGAAACAGAAAAAAAATCTTGAGATAATGCGGTTACGATTCTGAAGTGCTCCATTTTATTCTCTTTACTAGGCACACTGATAAGCCATGTAAGTAGTATATATATATATATGAGTATTACTACTTTTTAGACTGAGAGTGATACCATCTCCAGGATCTGAAGTATAATGAGCCATACTAACCAACAGACTTGTTTTATTTTTTTACCTGAATTGCAAACTATACCAAGATTTCTCAAATAACATCTACCGGACACATGTAAAACATAAGGGAACCAAAAGTTTTAGAAATCCAATAGATTACAGAATATTTGCCAGGTACTTCAGAGCCTCTGAAGGACAAAGACTCCCCGACAACTGGAGCTTTGTAAGGACTCCACAAATGAGGCAGCCCTTTGAAGCTCCTGATGAATACAATATGGGACTCAAACTTAGCTCCCATCCTTACTCTTGTCCTCACCTCAGTGTTCTTTGGCTCTTCAGTAAGTTCTGCAGGCCCAGAAGCCCTTCTTTCCTTTCTGACCAGTTTGAACTAGCACAGTGGTTGAGAACTTCTGCTACATCCTCGGCCTGCCGCAGATAATGGGGAATGCCACCACTCCGGGAGCCATATGAGCGCTCAGAGCAAACACTCGAGGCATCACTGTTGGCATCATCGTCAGAATACATCCCATACGGCTCATATCTCCTCCTCACAGGCTTCTTCTGACAGATCCAATGAGGAATGGGGGTGATTGAGGAAAAAATGGAAAGGTGAAATGACCATGAGTCATACCAAACAAATCAACAACAAATAGTTAAACATAAAAAGACACACACACACACACACATGCACTCACACCTTCTCCTGTGCTTATAGGTTAGGGACATAAAAAGAGAAACGCAGTCTTCCAGTAGGTAAAATAAGTAAGCACAGCATTCTGTAGCAGACAGAGAAAGAGCATGACGGCCTCTAGAACATGTGTGCACTTCACAAGACGACACATGGGTGCAATCCCAGTGCACGGCTGACTGGCTGTATGACTTCTGAAAGCCTCCTAAGCTTTCTGCTTTACTTTCCCCATGTTGCAGACAAAAATAATTAAACCTATCACACAGGCCTGCTGTGAGAATGAAATGAAATAGGTTAAATAATCCAGCCCAGCCCCTGATATGATTTAAGTGTCTGTACCCGCCAGACCCTTCCCAGTAAAAAGCAATATATCTTGGGCATGGTATACGGGAAATTTGTTTGAATATTCATGTTTCCTTAAGAAAATTTAAACTTGAAATGTCAGTGGCAGAAGTATCGTACGTCAAGAAATTCTTAAATTATCTGGGCCACTTTCACTAAAGACAAAGTTTTGAACACAAATAGTCTTCTTTTAAAGCAGACTTTGTTTCTCTTACACTGAATATAAAAGATGATATACCAACAACTATAGAAAATTAATAAAATTGATAAAATATTTCTAAAAGAAAAACTAATGGTCATTGTCTTAAACCATACAATTCTCTAATAATACAGCTTATTATTATTAATCCCAACTTGCTCAGGACTATTCTGCTAATGGCTACTGTTCCAGCATAGTCACTGATAGCATCCCTCTTTCACTCTCAGAGCTTTTTGTTCGTGTGATAAATTATATGATCATCATATAATTTATTAATACACATACACATGATCTATTTATACATAAACCAGATTCCTAAAGTAAGAAAAATTTTGATAAATCCATTCATGAAATCATGACAACAAAACAATGGGCCCAGACTGAGTCACTAAAATGAAACACTACTAGAAGAAGTAGCAGAGCTTGACATTCAAAATAAATACTAAAATAGATGTATGTGAAAGGTGAATGACTCCGTCACTAACAAAGTCGAAATGATGCCAAATCATTATGATCCAACAAATCATACTTCAGACCAAAATTTCTAGATTGTACTACGCTATACTACGTTTTTCACTTTCACTAGCTTCTAAAAGAAATATACTTGCAACAGAAGAAATAAAGTTGAAAAACAAAAGTTAAAGCACTGGTACCTTGCTCCTGGAGTCTCCTAATAGCTGTAGGCAGGAAAATATTGAAGGATGGGGAAAAAGCATAGAGAATTATGTCAGAAGCATATGTTGGGATTGTTCTTGCAACAAAAGTGTACAGCAAAACGTATCTCAGCAAACTAAAACACAGGTTAGCAAGCATTTCATATCAAGCGAATAATAATAAAGAATGCTTTCAAAAAGGCCACTTTCTAACCCTCCTACAGCCTCTCGTAAAGCCTCTGGTATTTGCTGTATGTAATTCTTTGCTAGAACTCTTCCCATACCAGTGAGGCACATCTCTAAAGTCACTGTTCGTTCTACTATCTATTCCTCTGAGACACTCTGTCTTGCCCCTGAGGTGCCTATCTGGTGTGGCAAAGATTCTCCACCATTCCTGCATTCTCTCTTCTGAAGCAGACCCCCAGGAGAGATCACATGGTTGTACAAAAGTAACAAGAGCAGCACGGCAGCATGAACGCAACAGGGGCTAGAGGGAAAAAAGCTCGAGTCAAGTTAAGCCAAAGCTCAGTCTCAAGTCCTACACAGCCCTTTGCCCAGTTCTTTGAAGATCTAAGAAATCCCCCTGCCCTAACGGGATGTTCCATTTATCGAAGGGGGTCATATCCATTATTTCCCACCCCTGTGACCTCCACTTCCTAGGGTCTCTGAATAAATAAAAGATTCTTGCAACTTGGAAGGAGAAACAGCATCAAAGAAATCTGTTCCAACTCTTGACTCTTACATTAAAGCCTCAGTTAGAATAATTATCCTGAACTCTAGTACTGGCCAGAAAAAAGTCCTTATACATAAACGGCTGAGAAATAGAGCTGGCTGGGCAGCCGGCCTCCAGGGAAAGCATTGTGGAGCAGCACACTGCTTGCTCATAGACACTTGTCAAAGTACTCTGATGGAGCAAGAATAAATGAGGGGAAATGGAGGAATGAAAAGCTGGAATCACAGTAGTCACAGACTATAAAATGTTGATCAGATGAAATATGGTTGGATTAAAAATAAAAACTTCAGGGTTTGAAGTGGTATATTATATACTTTTTCCCTTCTTTGTTTGTTTGTTTTTCTTTTGAGACAGAGCCTCAAGCTGTCCCCCTGGGTAGAGTGCCGTGGCATTACAGCTCACAGCAACCTCCAACTCCTGGGCTCAAGCGAGTCTCCTGCCTCAGCCTCCCAAGTAGCTGGGATCACAGGCGCCCGCCACAGCGCCCGGCTATTTTTTGGTTACAGCTGTCATTGTTGTTTGGCGGGTCCGGGCTGGGGATTCGAACCTGCCACCTTAGGTGTACGTGGCTGGTGCCTTAGCCGGTTGAGCTATAGGCGCCGAGCCATTTTTTCCCTTCTTAAAGAATAAATCTTAAAACAGCAGAAGCAAGGCCACGAATAAGAAAATTCTAAAGAATATTTAATCCAAATGCTGAGCGTATATACCAAAGTATGCAAGATGACCGTCTTATCAGTAGCTGAAATTCTTCTTTAAAAAGCAATTTGACCACAAGGCAATTAATGAAAAAGTTTTTCGTACAGGCCCAAATCAAAGGACCTGCAGTTGTTCTGTGCTGTTTAGATACTATATTTTAATGATGCAAAAACATACTCTGCCGGTGTTTCACATCCTGGAAGACTTAACCTTAACGTTTAGAAACTTTTCTTAAATGACTTAAGGACTCATTTTCTCAAAAAAAAAAAAACAAAACAAAACAAATAAAATCATAAGGACCCATATGTGAGGTAATAGAATTAATCCAAGATTTACAAACCTTAAACTCTATTACTTATTGTTATAATAAAATGCCATGAAAGTCTATAAAGTAAGAAACACAAAAGTAGAAAACAGGAAATGCTATTTAAAAAACTGTGGTTACAAAGAAAAAAAGCTCAATGACATCTGAAAAGCTCTCTGTCGTCAAAATCTTGATAGTACAGAACACAGATGAGAAATATTTGATGCTGATATTTTCTGTAAAGCCAATTTTCATTTATGTGTGCACAGAGGTAAATACTGAAGAAAACAATAATATAAATGTATACCCTATAGTTACACAATTTTAAAGAGTGTCAAAGGTGATTCAGTAACTTGATTCCTGTTCAGTTCCCTTGATTTCTGTTCAGACAGAGAGCAATGCCGATGATTACTCAGGGAGACTGTGTACATACTGTGCCTCTTACCAAAGCATCAGCAACAGCAGCTTCAAGATCTGTGCTTGTGCTCAACACTCGCAAGGCATTCACAGAACCAGGCATTCTTCCTGGCTGGCCAAGCCCAAATCGTTCTATTTAAAAAACAAAAACAAGAGATGTGTCACTTTAATTCAGATTTTCTCAGTTCTTTGCAAGGACTCCCGCTTCTTCCCACTAAGTAGACAGAGGCACTGAAAAATCTCTAGTCAATTTAAACTACACTTGACTTGTGTACCAGTGGTAGAGGTTAAGTTGTTCACATTTAATGCTATCTTGTCACAAAGTATTCTGTCAAGTGAAATTGTTTGAACATGGTATTTTATTACTGAAAAGTTCTGAGATGAGAGAGGGCGGTAACTTATTATAGAAGGGCTATGAGTCAATCTTTTAATCTATTTATCTTTCCTCTGGTAGCCTCAACATTTGTTCAAACTAATTAGAAAGCTTCAGGGTTTGATAAATGTGTTCTAAAGCTATGTAATAGAAAGTTAAAATTTGAAACAAATGTATTAAATTGATCTCTGTGCAAATGTTTACTAGTGCCATTACTGTTGGTTATTAATCAAGCTCAAGTATTTTTAGATACCTGTTCATAGTGATGCTTATGCCAGCAAAGATTATTTAAAATTAATTTGTTAAAATTCTTCACCACCATAAAAATCCAGTACTTTCACTGCTCAAAGGATTTTTCAAGGATAGTCTTTAAACAGATGAACAAAATGAAAAGAATCCAAATATCTGAAAGTAAATTTTAGTTCAAATGACGATTTTAAGCTTGTAAAATAAATACTATGGAAACAAAGACTCACTTTTTAAGTTAGCTGACCAGCCTTCCTTAAGAAGTGCTGGAAATTAAGATTATAACAGGACAGCACCTGTGTAAGTTATACTTTGTAAGTCTGTTATACTATCTATTAGTAGAAAGTGTCTTATTTAAAATTCTAATGTATAACAACCTTTGGAAGAAAAATGTTTAGATAAAAATATTTTCTCTATGCTAACAAATATGACTGTTTGGACAAGGGAGATCTCTATATTAGCAATATTCTAGAAGCATTTAGAATAAAAGGGAAGCTAGTGTCTAATTTACTACTCTTTCCTATAAAATGATGTATGTAAAATATTGGATATGTAACAAGACATCACCTGCGAAAGTGGTGATCTTTAAAAGTAAAGTATTATTTGGTATTTTAAAAATGTCAATTTCAAAACATTACACCTTCCACCACCACAGAGAGGGAAAAAAATTTAAACACTGCTAGTCAAGAGTTATACAATCATGAATTTTTATAAAGAAACAAAAATTTTATGTTATACTATCCCCTTTTTTAATGCATTTGCTGATCATTCCAAATGTCTTGTTAGCCATTACGTTTGATAGGTTAATTTAGTATGCCATCTAAACTAAAAAAGACCACAATAATGATTACATCTCTCTCTATATATATACTTATCAGTTGAAATATGAAATAGGTGAGATTTTCTGTGCACATGGTTAAAGATGATCTTGTTCATCTTTTCTTCCATTAAAAAAGGGTAGATAGTAGATTTATGAGTAACAGAATGAAAGTAATTCAGTTATAAGCCATTTAAAAATTATCCAGCATAAACTTAAATAAAACGGAACCTAAAAAAATTTTTAAAAAAAGATCTCATGCCAGCAATTCTTGCTCCAAGGATAATACTGATTTTTCAAACACAAAATTAAAACTATATAAACAATGCAATTAATCTTTGCTTCCCAGATACGTACAGTTTTACCATACACAGTGACTGCAGATCATTTGAAACACATAGTAGACAATTAGAATTTTATATCTTAAGGGGAAATGTGTATCTGGATCTAAGCAAAATTAATGAACTTTTTGTTTTTGCCAGACTAAAATCTGTTCTAACATATATTCTCACTGCTCTTATACTATCATGAAGCTCAATTTTCCAAGAGATGGATACACATGACTGTGCCTTCAGTGTGACTCATAATCTTCAGGAGAATGTACTTACTCAGAACATACACAGCTAAAATGTACAGCTGGCTGAATTGGTAACAAATTCACGTGAGGAAGCTGTAGTTAGTAGTATATAACTCTATATATACTATTAGCATATAAAAATGCTAGATAAATCTGGCAGACTGATGCATTATCATATGCTTACTTTTTGCCACTGTGGCTAACCAGTGGATTTAGGATTTTCTTAAATGGAGCTGAGACAGGAGGTCTGAGGTCTGCAGGCTGCAAAGGCTATGTTTGGCCTGGACCTGATAACCTGAATCTTGATCCTGTTTTCCTATAAAAGTTTTAGAAAAATACATATATTTTCATACATATGAAAATAATGTGTGCTACAATTTGGAATGATAGTAACTAAATAGTACCTCACAATAATTTGAACTTGACAGTAGTTACTGGCATTAGTATTTGATAGTTAACTAGGAGTGAAGACTTTGGAGATAAAATACTGTCAGATGATCTACCTATCTCCTTTCCCCACAGGACCCTACATGATACCTAGTTTTGGTTGTTGTTTTCCGGGGGAGGGAGTGGCAGAAAGGGAAGAAGTGCTTCCCAATTTTTTTTTTTTAACATAAATATGAACACTGGAGAAATGACATTGCCAAACAGGCTATAAAGCATCTATGGCCTATTAACAGAACTATAAACATTCAACAACTTAAAAAAATAAAAGCACATTGGGTAAAGGAAAATATGAGGTGCAAACATGCCAAGTGCTAGCTGACACAGATGAAAACAAATGTTAACATGGGTGTGAAACTAGAACATATGAAGAAGCCGAGTCATGCAGTTAGCACTTGTTCACCTGACTGCCCAACAGATTCAGCAGTGGAGAGAGCACTAGTGGACCTGGAATGACGTCGAGAGGCTGTAGGTAAAAGGAACGGCAACACCCACAGGATTAACACGGAAGTACCCAAGACAGAAAATGCCACAATCCAAAGGAAATGCAAGGACTACTACCAACAAGGCCACGTTTTCTCATGGAAAGAAATGGTGCCGGATATGAATGAACAGCAAGTGCCAACCCCAACTCCACAGTAGCCAGCTGGCTCTCACACAGCTATTAACACACAGGCACAACGAGGGCACTCTTTAAGGTGCTCCAAACTAAGTGTGCATCAACCAACTCAGACTCCAGGTTTACAGTCACGCCATGAAGCCTCCATCAGCCAGTATGGAAATGTGCAACATGAAGAACATCAGGAGTCACAGAGCACCTTCTACAGCCCCGAGTGGAACAGCAAAAAGATGGATTATTAACTCAGCTCACGAGATGTTTCATCAGTATGTGATGCATATGCAACCATGCACCAAAAACAAAAGCATAGAAGTTCATAATGCTATTTCAACAGAAATAGAATGAAATCACAGAAGGGGGCTCAAAAACTGGAATTCCATTTTCTCCAGTCAAAATGTTTTGTTGCACAAATATCCTGTGTTTATTAATGTACTTGTTTAACTGCTGGAAATTTAGTTGTCGTAAGTTTAATGATAAGAAACAGCTATAGTCCAGTTATGAGCACCAGCTTGGTAATATAACTATAAATCTTGGTTTGATCACAACTAGCTATAGGACCTTAGGCAAAGTATTAAACTTCTCTGTGTCTCAGTTTCTTCATCTGTAAAATGGTGCTAATAATGGTACCTACCTCTTGTGAGTTATTGAGAGTATTAAGAGAGATCATACAGAAACACTTAAAACACTGGTTAGTAGTGGTGGTGGTGCTGGTGGTAGCATTAATGGTTAAGAGCAAACTCTAATATGCAACTAGACATTAAAAAATAATTTTATTAGCAAGTATTCATATTAAGTATATTAATTCGTCAACATGAGAAACACCAAACTCTATCCTCATGTGGCGGGAGAATAACTTTTGGAAATAATTACGTAATAAAGACTTGGTTGAAAACAGTGACTTATTGACCACAGATTCATGCCATATATAGCTTCTCTTCACCTCAGGAAAAACAAAAGATAATTTACTTCCATTCATTACTCTGAAAAATTCATGGTGATTAAGCCACAGAAAACTTACACATTTTACAAAGTAATGCTGAGCAGTGCCACGTTTCATCCACACTACTGGAATATCACATACATATATTAATGTTCTCATTTTTAGTAATAAAATATTCAAGCCTCAAAGTCTTCAATATAATTTTATCTACTTTTTAAGCTCGTGTCAGTTAACAAAACGTGCATCTCTGTAGCACATGTGCTATTAAATAGCAAAAGTTACCTAGTCAATAAGGACAAATTTTCACCAGCTTGCAAAAAGAAAATTCCCCTTTTCTCAAGATTCATAAAAATATATAAAGATAAATCTCTAAAATAGGTATTATAAAATTATCACATTCCTTTAATAAAGAAGTCAGCAAAACATTTTAAGACTCAGGCAATCTATACATATATTGTACAAGCACATCAGTATTCTATCTTGATAGTTTAAATTATAAATAGTTTTAAGCAATACCTGACATGTAGGTTCCTTATAAAGTGGTCCTCTGGTTCTATTTCAACAGAGTATTCTAGAGTAGATCTGGTGTACAATGAGTACACAAGTGAACACTCACCGATGGGATCCAAGGAGGACCGCTTATGTCAATGCCTGATTTACAGCACAGCCTTTAATTTCAATTCATCAAAAATCATCACCATAACCTTATAAATATGTATTTATACCATTAAAATAATCCCAAACAATCTTGTAATAAAAATGCAAACCTAAGAACAATACATATTCACTAAAACATATTTGTTTTCATTCTTCCCCCCTTTTTTTAAATCAAAGTTGGCTATGTAAGTTGATTCAAAGGCATGTATGTATGATTATACACCAGTATGTAATCTCATCAATTTCCTAAAGGAGTAAGAAAAGTGATTATTAAAATAAATGAGATAAAGAGGGAACCTTTACCAGCGGTTCTTAACCTGTGGGTTGTGATTCCTTTGTAACAATGAAAACACATGGAGGCGTTAGGAAGGTTGAGAACCACCGCTTTAGACCTTAGCTCCACTGAGGACAGCAATCATCTGATATGTATCTCTGAATTCCTAGGTCCTAATACCAATC